TAATACTTTGCTTAGCTTTTGGAAGGCTTAATTCGCTATCCTAATGCACTTTTGGATATTAGTGACGCACTTTCCTTCCTCTGTTAAAACATTTCCAAACAAGCCAATTTCGTAGAACTTTATGACTATAATAAATTTCTGCTCCGTGTTTTCCACGCTTGCAGCTCTATGCCAAACTAAAATACCCTATTTAGTCGCAAATTGTGTTACCTACTACTGTACCCTTGTGCCGGACAAAGCTAGCTGGGTAAATACTTATGATATGTATGTCGACCTTTAAGATTATTAGGATTCTAACAGTATTTATATAAGCACGACTAAACCAAGAGATTCTTAACGATCTTCTACTAATTGAAAGCAATGGCAATAACGGAAAGCAAGAAGAAAGGACTAACTATTAACTGGAAGAAGATAGAATGCACGCTCGTTAATAAAAACTCCCTTTAAATTCTGATGTTGTGTATGAATGCAGAGAATTATTTCCTAACACAAGTTGTATTATTGTTGTTTTTGACATTATGTTTGTGGTACAGGACGCCCTTGGTAAGATGATAAACTATATCCACGTCTTGGGTAAGACGATAAACTACGTCCGGCAGCAAGGCCTCTGATCAGAAGGTTTTGAGGAGCGTGGAACCATCTCTTAACTGCTGGTGTTTCCAGGTCCGCACTGACCCGGGGTGGTAGCACCTGCTAGGATCTCAGCTATGGACAAATAGTTAACTGGCGTCAAAACACTATGAAAATGTAAAAATAGGTTCTAATACCAGCAATACTTTTTTGGAAAATATTATTACCAGCAATGAGGAAAGAAGAAAAAAATTAGGAGAATTGAGTTGTCAAGGGGAATTAACTAGAACTGAGATATTCAAAGGCATAGCATATGGGATTAGAACAATGAACCTCCCCGGTCTGGTTATTATGTGTGTGGCAGTAAAACTCCTTGTAACACCAAAGATTAAATGAAGGTTATGTAATCATTCACCAATTTAAACCACCAATTTAAACAAGGAGACGACCCAGAAGAGTTGCAGGAGATTCCGAAGTCGTCTGAAGGCCGTGAAAACCAATGAAGATTTTATTGAATAAATTTACTCTTTACTATTTCAATATATTTTTGTGTAATTTTGGTAAATATATTTGTTAAAATGAAATGTCAATGTTAATTTTATTTTGGCGTCATTTAGACGACAATTTATCCATCGCACCCTGTATATCTGTTAAAATGAGAGGTCAGTGTTATTTTCCATTTTGCTTCATTTAGACGACAATTTATCCATCGCAACCTATACCTACATGCCGTATATACTCGAATATAGTACGAATCTTTATGATTAGTTTTTCACGCAAATTACACAGGTTATTTTTGAGGAGGTTAAAAATCATGCATTTCGCTAAACGGTTGCACTATACACAGGTATTTTTTTATGGAGTGACAGTAATCTACCTGGTAGGCCCACATTCTCACGGTATCTTTGGCTAACCTTAACGGTACAGGTAAGCTCATCTACCTGCCTCACGCAGCTTAGATGATGTTGTTTATTTGTTTGTTTGTTTTTCTGTTGCTACATTAACAACTGAACGTCATTCACTGTCTTTGCCGCTTGAAATCTTCAACTACCTTATATAATTGAAGAATTAACAATGTTTTTCCACTTTCTCGAATTTACGTTCATCTTTCTTCGCACCTAGGTCACCTTCGACATGATGTAATGGTTAACAAGCTTAGATCAATTTAAGACTGAGTAATGAGTTCGATCCTCACTGAGTTCCTCATACTTTCGCCCGCTTTCCACAGCTAAGCTGCGCTTATTGAATTTTGAGCACTTCGATGTAGTGTAATGGTTAACAAGCTTATCTCGCTAGGTCAATTCTGACTGAATAATAAACCCAATCCTCTTTAGGCCTTGGGTCCCATCTAAGCGACACTTTGAAATTCAACATCTTCGTTCGCACGTGTTTACTTCTTTAAGCTATTGCTATTCCAAGTGCGCCCACCATTTGCCATATGTGAAGGAATATAGTCTTAAGGTGTGCTATATTTATGGGATAAAGTGCTCAATATCAGAGATAGAGCGTGTGTAAATATAAATATAAAAGTAAACATTGAAGTCAACACTCAGAGGCGACAGGCTGTTTCATGCTAGATGCAATCGTCAGGCCGCATGACGATTGCGTCTAGCATGAAACAGCCTCTAAGTGTTGACTTCAATGTTCATTATTTATATATATATATATATATATATATATATATATATATATATATATATATATATGTGTGTGTGTGTGTGTGTGTGTATATATGTATATATATATATTTATGTTCACTTTTATATATATATATATATATATATATATGTTCACTTTTATATATGTGTGTGTGTGTGTGTGTGTGTGAAAAGTGTGTGTATGTGTATATTATGTATATTATTATTTATATATTATATGCGCAGTACTTATGTCTATATTTGTGTGAGCCTCGGAGGCGAGTGCGTGTGTATGTGTGTCTACGTACCTCAACAGGTGTACAGACATGCATCTATGTTTGCGTTAGCATGAGTGACATCATGACGACAATTTCCTCCACACTTCCATAATAACACCAATATACGCAATCTACATGAATCCAAAATTTTGATAAATTACTCAGTTTGTCCGACTATCGCAATAGTGTGAAACCCAGGATCACAAACTCACATCAATCCAACCAAATATATATATATATATATATATATATATATATATATATATATATATATATATTTTATTTTATATATCAAAATATTTCCTACTAGAATGCAATGCAATATATGGTAAATGATGATTGCACAGTGTGAAATACCAAATGAATTTTAATTCTAGTAGCTATATTTATGGTAGTACTATTATCAATAGGCATCAAGTTGAAAAGCATTATAAAAGCATATCCCACTATTCATATATAAATTATACATAAAGCATTACGCTACGGGTTACTGTAGACAGGCATGAACGCAAACAAAAGTACGTTATGTAAATCTTCGTATCAGATATTTTACAGCAAGTGGTTTTTCTCACTATTTTGTATAAAAAAAAAATGAAAATCATTTATTTGTAATAAAATATGTCCCGGATGATGCTAAGGTGGCCCTACTAGTTTTGCTTAGACTGTACACGCAGTAGACTTATACACAGGTATATTTGGCATATAAGAAATAATTAAGTATGGCTTATTTTATTGAAATAACTATCACTTATTTTAGTAAAAAAAAAATATTTGTTCATGTCATTTATTTCACGGTCAGTGTAACGATGCAACTGTTGCTTCCTTCACGTCACGCTATCCTTAGAAAAGGCATGATTCTATCGTCCCCCAGCTATAGGTTAAATAGTAGGCGAACTGAGCTGTCTTGCTTTGAGGTGGCAATAAGTCAAATAGAAGGAAAACTCTGAATTCAAGACAAACCTGAAGAAGGGTAGTCTCCATCAGAAGACATACCCATGCTTCTACGAATGACAAGGTGAAACCCTTCAAGACGAAGACGATCATGGCTCTGGGCATATTTTCTTCCTTGGTTAGTTTTTAATTGCTATTTTTTTTTTATTCAATTCAATAGTTTTTTTTTTTGTCTTTTGTTGTTTTGATGTTTTTTTGTTTTGCTTTTTTGTATTCATTTTTTTTTTCTTTTTTATCAATTCACCCCAAGCAAGGCGATAATGCTATTAAAGCAGAAGGGAGCTACTGTGAGTGAAAAAGAATGAAAAAATTTTAGAAGGAACCGAAAATCCAATCCTAAACAGGAAATAAACCTCTACTCCTGTTCAAAAGACCTGAGAGGTGTGTGAGTCGAATGATAATAAACCTATCTATTCCTATTGAAGAAAAATATATAAATAAACAGTAAATAAAACGTTTAGACGGGAACGTTAGAAATATAGCGTTAGGGTAGAATTTAGAAGGAACCAGAAACCCAATCCTAAACCGGAAACAAGGGATAAACCTCTACTTCCGTTCAAATGACCGGGGAGGAGAGTGAACCGGACAATATGGGAATCTATCCATTCCTATTGAGGAAAAATAGAATGGAATGTTTTCCCGCTGTCTTTTACACTGTTTTGAATTTCGAATTTAATTCTCTTAAACTGGATTGAGATCCCTGTCTACATAGCTGAGGACGGGGATTGATGAATTCATGCCTTTTCGAAAGTGAACACAACAAACGAGACATGGAATTGAACTGATTCCACGCTATGCTAACCGTACAAAAAAAAGGTTTCTTCTTCCAGCTGCTGTGTCCCTTTAGGACGTGCGCGATCATGACTCTCCAAATGTCCTTTTCTCTTGCAGTTCTAAGCAACCGTTCCTCATTTTATTATACTTATATACCCTTTTCTGCTATCCATTTACTACGATCACCGAAGTTAAGCAATGTGAAGTTGGTCAGTACCTAGATGGATGATAGCTTGAGAATATCACAAGCTGTAAGCATGGATGTGCAGGTGGTGTAATAGATAACGTCACGGGATTGGAAATTGGAGAGCCATGTTCCAACTCCAGTCTGGTTCGTTATATTCACTTACGCAAAAATACCCTTTGGAAAGAGAGAAATTCACCTCTTATGCCCCCAGTTAAACTAGTAGGATTTCTATTAATAAATCATTATTATTTCATATCACAATCTAAAAAATGCTGGCTTTAAATAAACTGTAAAAGATTGATAAACCGTAAAAAAAACAAATAAATCAATCAATCAAAGGAATCCATTTACGCAAGCTCATTAGGTACGGTACTCGATGTTTCTCTCTGTTCCTCTTGCCTTCAATATGTCTTGTGAGTATCAAACTTTCCAAGCCTTCTTTCCTCATTATATGTCCCGGAAATTTAAAATGTCTCTTTCTGCTTCTAAGTATAAATGTCTTTCTTTTTCCATTTTCCTTAAAATTTTCCCTCTATGGCCTTCGCAGCATCCTTCAGAAGAACCACATTTGCTTGCCTCAAGTTTCCTCTTCATCTTTGAGGCTTACGGTCACATCACGTCGAAACACCGGTTACAGTACAATCACCGAAATTAAGCAACGTCGAGCTTGGTCAGTTCCTAAATGGGTGACCATCTGGGAATACCAGGTGCTGTAAGCTTGAATGTGCGGCTGGTGTAATTTTGAATCGTAGAGCCGAGTTCCAGTTCCAGTTGGGTTCGTTACATTTACTTATGTGCAAGTAGCCTCGTGAGAGGTATGAATCCACCTCTTCTCCCCCAGCTATGGGTTAATAGGTAAGATTTTCTATCACTAAATTATTATCTCTAAAAAAAAATTCTTACAATTTATAAACATTTTCTGGCTTTAAATAACCTGCAAAAGGTTGATAATCCGTAAAAAAATCAATCACTCAATGAAATCCTTTTACACAATCTCGTTAGTTACGTTATTTACGATATCTCTCTGATTCTCTTGCCCTTGAATAGTGTCAAATTTTGCAAACCGTCTTTCCTCATGATGTGTCCCTTTAATTCTAATTTTCTCCAAAATAAAATATTTAATGAGTATAGGATGGTTGCTACGGATACTGATTATTGCCTTTGACATTATTAAATATTCACAAATAAATAGTACAAAAACATAAAAGCGCCATATTCTTAAAATATATTGCATGTGTACAATCATTATAAACCTAATCCAAGTAATTAAAGAATATCTGTAGACTTTATTAGGAATAAAATATGCGAAATGGTTTTTTGTTTTATCTTCCCGGTAAATATGTAACTATTCACTTTCCTTAAACAATTCTAGCAAAATTCTCATACATATTTGGGCTCTAAAGATTAAAACAATTTTCAGAGGAAAAAAAAACGACCAAAAAATGTACAACTGTGAGGTCTGGAAAATTCTCGTTCTAACAAAATCTGTAAACGTCAGATATTTGTGAGGAACGGAACTGAGAATTGATTAGTATCATTCTGATTCGTATAATAGTATTATAGGTCTTTTCTGTATCTAATTATAAGTTTCTTTTTGTTTCAATTTTCCTTAAAACTTCCTACATGATCCATCCATGGTATTCTCAGCATCCTTCTGTAGAACCACATTTCTTTTACCTCAAGTCTCCTATTTATCTTTGAGGAAATTGTCCAGTATTCACTGCGATGTAGGCGCATTTATATTACATGCAACTTCGACATTCTTTTCTTTTTTTTTCTTAATACTTTGCTTAGTTTATGGACGGCAACTTTTGCAAATGGGACTTCTGATTTCAGTGTCACACTTTTCGTCTTGTGCTAAAAACACTTCTCAGATATTTGACCTTCTCTACTTGTTTCATTCTGACATCTCTATTCATAGCTGGCATTTTGGAATCTATCTCTTGCTGTCAATCATTTTTTTACAAATGATGTTTAGTACTTTCTTCTCACTTTGCTTTACTATCTTATCTAAGGCTTCCCAAAGAGAATTTTTTTCCGTAACTACCAACTGTCTTCTACATATCTTATTTTATGACGCCTGTTCCAACTAATACTACTTGGGATTTCTAATAGTTTATTTGAAATGAAATTATTAATTATTTAGCAAACATGGACACTCGTGCTCGCAAAAAAATTTCGAAACCTGAAAAATGTTATGTTCGAAACCGGAAGAATGTTACGTTCGAAACCAGATGAATATCACACTTAAACTTGAAGAATGTTACGTTCGAAATCTAAAGAATGTTACGTTCGAAACCTGAAGAATGTTACTCTTCGAAACCGGAAGAATGTTACACTGAAATCTAAAGAATGTTGCGTTCGAAACCTGAAGAATGTTACGTTCGGAACCTGAAGAATGTTACACTGAAACCTGAAGAATGTTATGTTCGAAACCTGTAACATTTTTGCCTAGTTTAATACAAAACATTATTTCTGCTTCTAAATTGTCTTCACATCCTGACTGCATTCTGCAAACTAGTCAGCTGTGACAAGCAGTGTTTAGTAGGGCGTGTTCAATGAGTTGACTCCTTCAATTTGGAATAACAAAAGTTAGCAGATCAGCTTATTAGATATGTAGTTATGTTTTCCTAATTCTATATTATAAAACGATGCCTTGCCTCATGGCTGATGCTAACCTCCAGGAAATTGACTCGATGTGCCTTCCTCGGCTAACGTTCTCAGCTGACATGGAGTGTAAAGAGTATATTGAATCCATTGCAAGTTGAGCTGCTAAGAATGTTGGTTGGTGAGATGTGAAACAATTTTTTCTCTCCAGAATCTATTTTACATATCTATAAGTCTACCACTCGTTCATGCTTAGATTATTACTGCCACATATGGTCCACTGCCCTTGCTATTTATCTTGAGCTATTTGTCAAGACGAATCTGCAATATTATTGGTCAGGATCTGGCAGCTCAGCTTCAGTCACTTCCCCATTGCTGTAAGGTTGCCTCTATGTGTCTTTTCTATAAATACTTTCATAGTAATTGTTCGGATGAGCGCTTCGCTATGTTTTTTTTATTCCCCCCCCCACGGACAATGAATTGTAAATATGGGAACTAGTTAGGCCTTCATGGAGTATTTGAGGCATTATAGTGGATGAAGTAAGAATGGTAAGTAAGAATGCGTTTTTTGGGGGGTAAAGAATATTGTTATATGTTTTGGTCAGTGTTTGTGTCTAGCTAAGTTTAATGTTAAGACAGAACAAGACCGTCCTTTTCCCCATTTCCCATTTTGCGCGACATTTTGTATTTTTACAAATAGATAACGCTCTTTGCTATGGTACCTAAACTTTTTGAATTTACGAGCAATACTAGACTGGCATTGAGATCTCATCAATTGACACTTGAACTGGCTAGATGTAGCCGTAAGTCCTATGCTAACAGTTTCTTTTCTCGCACTACTCGCTTGTGGAACACCATGCTTTCCAGCCATCGTTAATCTGCAAAAATTTAAATGACCCTGTCCTTCCACGCCTTATAAACAATTGTGTTTTTACTGCCTTGCATGAGGTGATAACGATTAAATAAGAAATAGTCTACGCCATTTATAAATCCCTCAACTAAATAAAAAAAAGTCTCAAAACTTCTTGAATGCACCTCGCATGTTCACGCATGCGCACATAAAAGTTATACATGTACAATGCATCGATTCGCAGTCGATTTTATTTTTAGTCACAAATTTATATGAGTTTTTCTATTGTCTTTTCTTTTTTCACTCCACTCTTGCTTTTCTTCCCCCCTCTCTCTCTCTCTCTCTCTCTCTCTCTCTCGCTCGCTTTCTGTTTACATTCATCACTCTCTCTTTCTTCAACTGTTTATATCTCCATCTCGCTTTTTATCTATCTCTCTCGCTCTATCTCAAGTCCTCCCGCCCCCTTTCTCTCTCTCTCTCTCTCTCTCCAATCTCTCCCTCTGTATCTCTCTTCCCTCTGTTTCTCTTTCACACTCTCTCCCTTTATTTCTCTCTCTCCCTTTCTCTTTCTGTTTATCCTCCTCTCTATCTCTTTCTCTCTCTTCCATTCTCTCTCTTTCTCTCTCACCCTTTCCTTCCTCTCTCTCTCTCTCTCTCTCTCTCTCTCTCGCCTTACGTATTGAAGCGATTTCAATCGGGATTCCAGGTCATGTGAGCTTCGGGAGGACACGGAGGCAAAAGGAGGTTGGGTAGACCTGATGGAAATTTAAGTGGACTACATTCAATTGAGTGGTTCGTATCCTAGCAACGGCCAGTCTTTTGTTTTGTTTACAACTCTGCGTCCAAACTAGAGGATAGTTATATATGCGGGTAGATGGCTATATATATATAAGAGAATTGGCAATCAGGCACGTCTATCAATAATATGAGCCTGTAGATAGATAGATAGATAGATAGATAGATAGATAGATAGATAGATAGATAGATAGATGAAAATACTGCGTTAGATTGAAACAGACTGAATTAGATAGATAGATAGATAGATAGATAGATAGATAGATAGATAGATAGATAGTAAAGGAATATTTAGATAGTTTGACTGATTGATTTATTGATTGAAAGATAGAAAATGAATATCCAAATAGACAGATAGATAGTGAACATTTAAATAGACAGATAGGTAGATACATACATACAGATGAATACACTGATATATATAATGAACATATAGATAGATACATACATACATATGTACAAACTTAAATGGATAGATAATGAACATTTAGTTAGATATTACCCAATATTGTTTTATGCCTCATCAGCAGCTGATACGACGTCATCATCCCTACAATACTGATTCCCAGCTAAGTGGATTTTTTCATATTGGGAACAGATGATAGGGTGGATGGTCAACCATTTCAAAACCACAGACACTCACGCCAGACATTGAAACCATAGACTTATGTGTTTAAGCGTTGTCTTCATAAAACAAGAGCCTTTCGTCATTTTTCCTGGACATTTGGCTATGATAGCCTTTCGTGACTGCCTCAGAAAACTAGAATAGTGCCCCCCCGCATTGATGGTATGACACTTTTAAAGATTGACGATAATCACAATTCTTTTTGTCTGCCCAAAAACTAAATCCGTCACCTTTCCTGCAGATGAAAGTACCTTGGACTTCTTTGGAGCAAGTGGAAGGTAGTTTCCACTTCATTGATTGTCCGTTTGTCTCTGGCTCAAAAGGAGTGTACTCATGACTCATCCTTGCCTAGGAAAGTTTTGTGATGTTAAAGAACATTCATTGCCACTTTTGTAATATCAACGAATACTCGTATTTTTGTAATGCTCGTTGTAGTAGAGACTTTGTAATCGCAGATACAACTATAGTAACGCCGTTGAACAATACTGGTGTCAAACGCCTTTGAATAACACTCGCACTAATAGTGCTTGCTCGATAATTATCGCTCGAATAGTAATTACCGTATGACGGGATAATAGCATTGACTATTTGATTTGTAATCAATCGCCTGTCATTCATCCTCAGTAGTAGCAGTTGCGAGATGTCCAGGATGTCTTGGGGTATCGTCAAGACTTTGTCTTCCCTTCCTAAATTCAGATGCGCATTTTTGTACTGTTAATGAAGCTGAAGCATTATCACCTAATGTAGCAACCATGTCAGCATGAATGTCTTTGTGAGCTAAACACATTTTCTGTAGGTACTTGATAACACACAGATACGAAAGCACATTGGGATAGTCAA